CCATCCGACCAGCTACTGATATGGCCAGTCGGCACAAGACGATGTTCCTTGGATTTCTTTACCCTTATTCATGTTATTGCAACTTTAATATAAGTTAGAGCTTAGCTAAAAGACAAATAGTGATTACCTCAGACTCAATCAAGTTATCTGTTTTTATTGTTGCATGATTTACTAAGTAGATTTGATCCTTTAGCCAAGCTCTATACACCCCAAGTTAACCACAACGGAACTTGGAATTTTGTTGAGTGGAGTCAACTTAGAATTTGATTTGATTAAGCATTCCTTTCATTGTTAATTCCAACACTTATTGTATTAGTGGCATCTTCCTTAGTTGAACCATAATATTACTATTACAAAGGTTCTAAATTTCGAATAATATCGCTCGTACGTACCAGTCCGCCAGCAGACTAGTACGCGGACCACTCGCTACCAAGCAGAACGCTTGATATAGCCTCATATTGGACGATACAGGGCTATATCGGGTGGTAGCAGTCAAAATTTTGACTATTACCGCTCGAAAGAAGTCGGAAACGGTCGATTTCGACCGTGATCGCCCGATATCAACCTTGCTGCAACGAGGGAAGAAGAAGCGTCGAGGGAGAAGGAAGAAGAAAGAGAGAGCATTCGAACAAGAGGGAGAATCGAAAGAACCTCGACGTGTTTCGATCCAGCGCCGCCCTGCCACGGACTTAGCTGGTTTTGCCTAAGTCGTGCGGCACCCTTGCGTGTCCGTCCGCAAAGGTCAGCCTCCCCGAAGCCTCCCATTGTCCCTTAGGACCAACAAAAGAGAGAACGGGTTAGAGAGAACGCCTCACTCGGGATCTATAAGCAAACATCTCCGAAAACACTTCAAAGACAATGCAAATTACAAACAGACTTTACAAGCTCTGAACAGTTGCACAACAAAGGGTAAAATGGTCCACTACAGACCGAAAATCTCTCACACGTGTCTACATGACATAACCTTTATTTACAAGCCTAAAGCGTCCACCAACCTAACGAAAATGGGACTATTAAGCCTTCGGCCGTCCCTCTACATGTTGTACAAAGCATGAAAATACCAAAAGACACGGACATACATAAGTATTACATCAAACATCCTGTTTAGAAGTTTGTCCGTGACATTCTCCCCCACTTATTCCTTCGACGTCCTCGTCGAAGCCTTTGTCGACACTGCAACTCCTCGCCTTTGCTGAGTCTTCAATCTTCTGCTCTAGCTGCAATGCGCCTCTTGGCTCCCAGCTGCTCTCCGCTGTTGTTTTTGAGTAGTCGAACCTTTAATCCACCATGCTGTTTCAACTCGCCAATGACTCTGACTCTAGTGTGGGGTTGGCTGAGTTGTGTTGATCCCTGTTGGTTCCTGCGGATCCTCCAGATGAAAGAAAAGACCATCCTTACTGCACCAGTCTCTCAAATGTCTCATGCTGCTTGAATTGGGTGGATGCTTGTTGGAGCTCTAACGAGCATCGTCTCGCAAACTTTTGAAGTTTTGGGTCCTTCCTCCACAAAATTTGCTCATTGACTCTTCTTTCACTTAGTTGTCACATCCAAGTAGGTTCGCATCACTTCCGCTTTCGATTGGCATTTTGTTGGGAAATGAAGCGGACAATCTACTCTTAGTAGCACTGATCATCGTTGGTGAGAATTTGACAACTATTGTCTTCCATTATCTTCGAAGGGTCTTTAAACTTGTGCAGAGCTCCTTTGCTGAATAGATAAGAGAATTGGGGTACTCGGTTTTGCCTATTCTCTTAAGGGTTGAGAAGGCAAAGGTTACTTGACTTCGCCCGCCTCCTCGAGGTTGTACTCCATGCATCGAGCTGGTTACTAGCCTTCGCCTGCTCTTTGCTCACACTTCTGAAGCACTTGAAGTGTTTGCACTCCTTGCGTTGAGTTAGTTACTGTGATTTACCTTCTCAATGCCATCGAACTTTTGGAATGCAGGAAGTTTTCACCCCAACTTGGAGTAATTCTCTCATAGGTTTGGTCGCCTCTGGGATTGTACCGTCTTCTCCATCAACCCTGTCGCCTACTCCACTGAGTAGCAAAGGTACAGCACCGCGTACTGCCTGCTTCGTTCCTTGGTTATGCACTCTTGCATGACTCGAAGTCCTTCACTTTCAGATATCTTGATGAGAAGCTCATTGACACCGGTCTTACGAAGTTCCTCGGCCTCTGCCCTTCAGCCTTGTCTCGGTACTTGGAGATTGCCTCCGCATGCTCCACCTCCTCGGCCCCTTTCACGACCAAGCGCTCTCCCTCCATGAGAGCAAGGGATCAATGACTTTCACGGAAGTCCCGCCTCTACGGTACCATGGCGCTGCCATGCCCATGGCCCTACTATCCGTCGCCTCGCATCTGCATCCCTTTTCTTCATGATCAGTAGATATGTCTCCGTGGCACTCCTCTGAGTCCACCTCCATTCTAACTGATGCTTGATTTTGGGTAGCTAAGTCCCTCTGGACTTGTCGTCGCTTCCTCGCCCCTTCCAACCCCCTGCTTCAACACCTCTGTGTTCTCCAAGCAGCTCCCTTTGGTCGATGGAAAGACAGACTGCAACTCCCATGCATGACCTCTGCCATCGCATTATAGGATTTGTATCGATTCTGTTCTCCTTAGCTTCCTTGGTAGCAACGTTCGCTTACTCGACCTTGTCCTCTGACATAACGGGCTCCCTTAAGCGAATATGAGCTCTGGAGCAGTCCAACACTCCAGCTGCTTCGATCATACCTCTGTATGATCAAGTCCCTCCCATGGGACTCACTGGTACTTGCATTCGAACTTTTCCCTTGGTGGAACCCAGCCCCCATATGCTGATGACCAAGGTTTTCATCCGATGCAAAATTCGATGCACGCACGGAAGACCCGCCTCTGCGGTACCATGGCCTTCACTCCTTGAATCCATAGCCCTTCTTGCCATCGTGTTGTTCACCAAAGTGGAGCTTCCAGTAGCACCCGATCATACCTTCATATGATCTAGTCCCTCACGGGACTATATCGTGTGTATCGCATTGCCACGAACTGTTCCACCACGATCCGCTGCACCATGTCGCCTCCTGGTGACATCTCTATTGCATTCTGATCTTTGTGGGATGAACTTGAATTGTGAACCCTTCATGTGTGGCCTCTGCCAATACATCGCAGGGTCTCTTCCACCTTCGATTTTGTTCGCTCCTTTGGCAATCGACCTTCATCCACCCACTCTTGGGTCACACCTAGATGAAGCATCACTCTAGGACAGTCCGTCGCCTAGTAGCTCCCGAAGTCCCTCGACTTCGCTGCAATTAGTGCACCATTGTCTGGATCCTGGGCCTCTGCCTCTACCAGCACAATCTTCACTGCGCACCGCTTCCTTCATGGCAACTTGAATGGCAACACTGTGGTATATTCTTCAAGAGTACCCGCCTCTGCGTCCTCTTGCCCCGTGCTAAGGCCTTCTGAACCCAACTTTACCTCAGCAAATTGAGTCACCTTAGTTCCTCCATCAAATGCTCCTCCGAGATAAGGTGCATAACTCTTTCGGTCGTTGAGCAACTCATTCCACCTTGCATGGTCTCATCCTTTACCAAGCACCTCGCTTACCTTGAGCACCATCAAGTATCGTTATCAACGTTGAGCCGTAGCTCAAACTCAGTCATCCCAACCTTTGTGCGCTCCGCATTCTTCCAAGCTTGCCTGTTCTAATGGTGCCTCTTGCGCGAAGGGTTGGTCATTCCTCTGAATGCCAATGTCAGATGCCCGCTCCTCCGAGCGACTCCTTTTCCCTACATCTCCATGCTCGTTTTCCCCCAAACGGTCACGCGTGTTCTGACTGCCCTCAACGCAGCCCCGCTAGGTCCCCCATGTTTGCATGCTAAGTGTTTCTATGAGTGTTTGTCCCGCTTTGATACCATCTATCATGGACTTAGCTGGTTTTGCCTAAGTCGTGCGGCACCCTTGTGTGTTCATCCGTAAAGGTCAGTCTCCCCGAAGCCTCCCATTGTCTCTTAGAACCAACAAAAGAGAGAACGGGTTAGAGAGAACGCCTCACTCGGGATCCACAAGCAAACATCTCCGAAAACACTTCATAGACAATGCAAATTACAAACAGACTTTACAAGCTCTGAATAGTTGCACAACAAAGGGTAAAATGGTCCACTATAGACCGAAAATCTCTAACACGTGTCCACATGACACAACCTTTATTTACAAGCCTAAAGCGGTCACCAACCTAACTAAAATGGGATTATTAAGCCTTCGGCCGTCTCTCTATATGCTGTACAAAGCATGAACATACCAAAAGACACGGACATACATAAGTATTACATCAAACATCCTGTTTAGAAGTTTGTCCGTGGCAGCCCTCCCTCGATGATCCCAATCCAGGAGATAATCGCTAGGCGATGGCTAGAGCAGCGGAAGAGGCGGTCTCCTTCATCGCCTCGTCTGCGATTCTACGGCTTCTTCTTCGCCGCATTCTTCGCCGAAGGCCGGAGACGTCTTCGACCTTCGACATCTTCACCGCCTTCTTCGCCGAACGTCGTAGATGAGGAGATGAAGGAAACCGTGTTTTTCTCCTCATTTGAGGTGACGAGGAGAAGAGGAGGCAACGTCATTGAGGCAACGTATGCCTCCTTTTTAGATTTTTTATATTATTTTTTTTTAATATTTTTAATATAAAAATATATTTTATATATTTATATTATATATATATATATATATATATATATATATATATATTTAAACATATCACTCGGTATGCTTTAGTGTACCACTCGGTACTCCCATACCGTACCATACTAAGCAAAGCTTGGTACATCGGTACGGTATAAAATTTTAATTTTTGACTATTACCTAAACTTTTTTTCATGCTTAGCTTCTCCTTACATATTACTATTTTCATATTGTAATTTTTCTTATGATTAAGGTAGTTGGCTTTTTTTCTGAATTAAATTGTGATTATTTTCTACATGTTTATTTGAAAACTTTCACATATATGGAACTGTTTGGTGGAATATTAGGCAGCATGGGTTGTGGGGCAATATGCAGATATCAACTTTTCTAACCAGATCAATTTTCGGAGAGCCTTTCACTGTGTTGTTTCTGGAATGCGGGATCCAGAGCTTCCCGTGCGTGTTGATTCAGTTCTTGCTTTGCATGCATTTGTTGAAGCTTGCAAAGGCATGCTTATGTTAACGTTATTATTTACCTTTCTTTTTGTTTTTCTTATTATCACCTGAAGTAACTTTTAATTATGTTATTGATATAGATCTAAATGAGATCCGGCCAATTCTTCCTCAATTACTTCATGGTATGAAAAGGTTGATTTTTTTTATATCTGCTATACTTTTTTTCTCACTAAGATCTTTAATTTCTTATATGTAGATATTTTTAGAATTATGAATGAAGTTGAGAATGAGGACCTTGTCATAACTGTTGAGAGCATCGTGGGCAAGTTTGCTGAAGAAATGGTTCCATATGCTTTCAGCTTGTGCCAGAATCTGGTGTAATATTTGCATTATGATATGTTTATGTTTTTGCAGATATTCTATCATGATTTCTTCTTATAGTAAATGTTAAAACATGTGTGCATAGGCTGCTGCATTTTGGAAATGCTTCAATATCTCTGAAAGAAATGACGAGGCTGATAATTCAGGTGCTTTAGTTGCTGTGAGTTGTTTGCGTGGCATCAACATAATCCTTGAATCCATTTGCAGTCTTCCTAATCTTTTTGTTCAAATTGAGCCTATTTTACTTCCTATAATGCAGAGAATGCTGACTATTGATGGTCAAGGTAACTATTTATGATATCTTGATCAAAGGCATTTAGTTAATGTGATTTATCTATCTGCATATCTGACAAACATATACATTTATAGTATTTTTTTTGTTTAATGTGTTTTGATATATATCTAACATCTATAGTTTCCATGGCATATTCCATAGTGTGTAACAATGATGGTTGTACTGCTCGAAATAGTATGGTATAGGTAGTATGTACCGTTTCGGGTGTGGACCGATACAGGACCACCTCTGTTTCGGGCAGTCATATTAAAATGGGAAAAAAATTGAAAAGTGGTGGGCCCCAAATCCATTTCAGCGATAAAAAAGGAAAAAAAAATCAAAAAGTGGTGGGCCTTTGCTTTTGACATATCCAATTTGTGAACTAGTCAATTTGCTTTTGATATATTTTTTATATTGTTAGATTGTATCTCCTATAAAATTGTTGGTCCTTGCTTACCTATGATATATTACAAGTAGAGAAGAATTATGTTAACGTACACATTGCTGTAAATATTTTATAAAAATATCAAGTGGTCTGTTGCTTTGATAACACTGTTTATTTCACTATGTAACATGCCATTTACATTGCAAGTTGAGCACATTGTTGTAAAATTTTCTAGATCCTTGCAAAGAATGTCTTTTTTTTTTTTTTTGATAAATCCATGTTCCACAGATGTTTTTGGAGAAGTTCTGGAAATTGTCTCCTATATTACAATGTTTTCCCCAACAATCTCATTGGGCATGTGGAGTCTTTGGCCTTTAATTCTAGAAGCCCTTGGAAATTGGGCAATACATTTCTTTCAGAGTAAGCCACTATATACATGCTAATCACAATGGATTTTTTTGCATTCTATTATTTGTTCTTGTTTACACTTTATATGCAATGAATGGGTTACTCTATGCATCACGTTTGGAATATTGCCCCTCAGCTGTATGCCTTTTTTGTATATGCTCTTGCAAATTGATTTGCACATTCTGTTGATTTCTGTAATTCAGTATCTCCATGTTGGTTATGATGGACTTACCAAAGTTTGTTTCTGAGGGTTGTCTTACAGTGTAGATAAGGATTGATTGTTAATAAGATTCTTGAGAGAGACAGAGAGTGGGAAAAGGTAGAGATAGAGGAATGGTGCCAATGTCATCACATCTAATTACACTAATACTTCGTAAATGCCCTTAAATTCTTTCACTAATCCAGACCATCTTGTTTCAATTCAGTGATCTACGTTTGGTTCTTGACCTCTCCCATGAAGAGAGAACAATATGAAAGTAAATGTCTATTTCTAATGATTATCACTAATCACATTGGTTTACTCAATCAGGTGATCTGTTTCTTTCTCGCTTGTGCTGATCATGGTTAACATCTTTGCTTGTTCTTAAATTTTGAGTTATATGCCTTTTGTGAAAGATCCTACAATTCAACCTTGCTTGTCACTATGTTGAATGTACAAATTGTTCTTTTTAGAACTATTTTAAATTATAACTAGAATATTTTAGTGGATGGCAACATTTGCAATTTCGGATACTAGTACCAATCCAGCCATGATCAGACTGGTATGGGTCAGGTCTGTTCTTGAAGGAAGAAGGAAGAAGAAGAATAAAGAGGAGGAACAATGAGGGATAAAGAGGAAGATGAAGGAAGAGAAGGAGATGCACCGAAGATGAGGTGGGTGACGAGAGTGCGAACAGCAGCGAGCAGCAGGAACAAGCATCAACAAGCGGCAGCATGGAGATACATGCAAGGAATTGTGAATCCTAGAACATTGGGCGATGGCACATTAAAAAAAAAAAAACACGTTGAAATATTGAATAACAAATTGACTGGACCACCTAGTTATAAGCAGTCTGCATGCCGAACCTGATTAAATTTAAAAATCTTGGTGAGTGGTTTATATAGATAATAATTAACATGCAATTCATTACTCATGATTGCTCTTTCAATTAAAGCATGCAATAATTTTACATACGTAGTGGTTTGTAGTGTGGAGCTGAAGTTTTTATATTTGGTAGAGTAACAAAGTTGGTGAATCTATCTCACAAACTATTAGTTACCTATTCTCTTTGGTTAGAAAAATAAAGATAGGCTAAAGTTTGTTAGTTACAAGATATTAGGGTTGAAGAGTTTAAAAATATCCTATAAAAGATCATGTTGTTGTACATAAACTCTTAGGTGGTGGTTGATTATGGGAATTTGACCACTACAATTAGAAACAGTGTGAGCATTTCAATTCCTAGTGTGTGGTTGAAACAAATTAAATAATAGTTTTTATTTTTGGGAGGGATTTCATTCCCTCTTTTGGGAGAATTTGGAATGTTAACAAGTGGGATGAGATCTTAGTTCCCACTATCAAAAGACATCATAAAATAGCTTCCTAAATAAGAATACTTTGTTTATAAATTAAATTAGACCAATTTATTATATTCCCTTAGCTCATCTTTCCAAAGGCACAAATCAGTTTGTTTTCTATCAAAAAGTCTATTCCATGTTCTAGGTTGTTTCCAACACATCTGCATTTGTTAGTGACGAAATATCATGTGGCTGGGTTTAGAATACCTTTCATACTGGTCAGTACAGATTAATATATTTCTATTTCTCTCTTTTTCTTTTGTTGAGATGAAAGTCTTAGGTTGCTGCCCTTTTTACATATATGTTTTTACATGTTTCCATAATTCTGTGGGCTTGAATTAACTTTTCTGTTTCTGCCTAAAGTGATCGAATAATTTCAGCTTTTATTGCTTTTGAAGATTCCTACAATTGATAGTGCTATTTGCCTATTACATTACTTGGAATCATCTGTACCTGTTAACAGAAATATTTCAGACGATCACATCCAATTAGTTTTATCATTAGTTTGCTTAATTTATATTTTCTTCAGGACTCTTATTTGTGACTTAATCTAGTGTCACTTTCTTCTGGCAGACATGCTTGTTCCGATGGACAACTATATATCTCGGAGTACTGCTCATTTTCTTGCATGCAAAGATCCAGATTACCAGCAAAGCCTGTGGAAAGTACTTTCAAGAGTAAGTGTTAAGAATCCTATTCCTGTATGTGCTTAACTGGAATTTATGATAAAGATGCAAAAGTTGTGATCATTAACATGTTTTGTGGTGAAAATATTTTTGTTAATTGAATGTACAGATCATGTTAGATAGAAACATGGAAGACAGTGAAATTGAGCCTGCACCTATGCTGATTGGAGCAGTATTCCGAAATTGTAAAGGCCAAGTGGATCAGTGGGTTGAGCCTTATTTGAGGATTACAATTAATCGATTGCATCAAGCAAAGAAGCCGTATATGAAGTGTCTTCTGATGCAAGTGGTAAGCATTCCTTTCTGATGTGCCAGCAGGCAATACCTGACTTGCTTGTTCTCTTTTTACAGCATGGATTACATAATCTATTTCATGCAAATGAAATCAACTGATGGATTAAGTTCTGTTAGTCCTTTTTATTGTGAAATCAAACAGGCTAGACAACAATTGGATGAAGGTGTGTGCTTGCAAAGAAGTTTGTTATGCAATTCAGAAAATTGGTGTGGACATATGTCTATGTGTTTTTAGGGACTTCAATTGCAAAAAAAAATTTGTGAGTGGTTTTGGAAGTCAGTGCCTTGTTTGTTTCTGTTAGATGATTCTGTTCCTAATTTAACAGAAAAATGTTTCTGATCAGTTTTGGTCCGCATAATTCTTGAAGATCTTGTGATTATTATTGTTTTATCCAATGTTAGTGACTTATAAACAAATTCAGATGATCCATGATCACGGATGTGTTGCTGATTATACATTTAGTTTGTATTCCATCACATTCCAGTGAAGACCTATAAATGTGTTGGTAGGACAATACGAGTTAATTCTTTAGAAGAGACTAAGAAATGCTTTAACAGAAACAAAATATTCCTGTAGTATGGTTCTATCTTGCTGGCTCCAACTAGTTGGGAGCTATGACATGTTATTCATATCATGAAAATGATATATTATTATTACATATATTATATTTATCTTTTATGGTTTGTTCTATATGTTTTTGGAACTTTTACTTGTCTCACAATTCCAGCAGTTGATCATCTCAGAACTTTTTTTGCCAGATTCAATTTTGTGTATCGGTAGTGTGCTAGTCATGCCTTGGGCTGTACCATTTGCTGAGTGTCGGTACCCTAGTATGTACCAATTTTTTGAAAAGGCTTGAAAAGAAAGCTGAAAAAAGGAAAACTGCTTGGTACAATGCTTCTACTGCTCTATATTGGGTGCTAAAAGGCCCTATACCAGGCATAATGGGTGGCATAGTGTCACGGCCTTAGCTGGAATTGCCTAAGGCGTGAGGCACCCTTGCGGCCAAGACGCGAACTTAGCTTGCATTGCCTAAGTCGCGTTTCACCCTTGTAATATTGCTCCGCAAAGATCAGCCCACTTGCAACCTCTCGCAGGTCCCGAAGGACCTGTAAAAGAGAAAGTTGATTAGTTCGAAAGAACGAGCGACGGACAAGTCCTGACGTCTCGCGAAAAGGGGAAGCTTTACAAGCAATTCAGTGAGCACCTTGCGTGCACAAGAGAAAAGAAGGAGAGGGGGAAAACAAGGACTTTAGAGGGTTGAACGAATAGCTGCAAGTCCACAAACAGCTACTCACCGGGTGCCGGGCGCGACAACAAGTTCCCGTCAAGGTAACGTGCGAACTTGCGAAAGGTTGTTCAACGTCCGACACTATACCGAAGCCCCATCCAGCCCTGTGCCACCTGGGGGGTTCAAAGGGGCTGAGATGGCTGACGTTTTGGTGAGCGGAGGTGGAGTGCAGAAAACAGCCCGTGGCACACGAAAACGAAGCTGTTTTGGGGTTGTTTTGCTCGGTTCGGTGAGCGGTCGCTTGGTAACGCTGCAACTTGTTCGAACTTACATTTTTACAAGAAAAATGACTTAAAACCAAGGCAAAACATGCTGCCAAGAAGCTGTATATGTGGATGTGAGTGACGAACGGTTCGTTAAACGGGGGTGCGCGACGACTGTCCGTAACAATAGACCCTAGACAAGGTTTACCATATAGTACTGACTCTGTAACAGAAGATACAGGGCCTGTACTGAGTGTATCACCCAATTTACCCTGACGATATAGGGCCTGTACTTAGTGTATCGCCCAATTTACCCTGATCCACGTACTAGTTGCTGTCGGACTGATAAATACCACTAGTATTGAATCGTATCCAGCGGTATTGCAAACTTTGCTTTCTTTAGTCATGGAATTGTTTATAAGTGACTGTTTTCATTCTAATTTCTTTTGAAGCATTGAATTGTCTGAATGGGCTTTATTGGGATTTTGATCTTGTGTTTGTTTATGACAATCCTACAGAGTTTCTTCATCCATTTTAGATGCTATGTTTGTGGTTGTGCATGTCTGCGTAATATGCTTTTGAAAAAAGTCATTTTTCTATCTGTATGTCTTCTCTAGTGTTATGCTTGCAATTTTCTTGAAGAATAGATTTATTGAAGGGTTTTCTGCTCTAAGTACTCTATCTTGATGTTGTCAATTCATTGTCTATGTGCTTCACCTCTAAGCTTGCCTTGATACATCTTTATTCATCTTCTAACTCGAATGAAATTCTGTAAAAAGTATTCCTATGCTTGTTTCTTAACAATTCCAATTCATTAATTATTTGGAATCCTGTAGTTGGTGCTTTTTAAATTTTTTTTTCATTTTATTACAATATCTTGCCTCTTTGCAGATTGCTGATGCTCTTTACTATAACACTTCTTTGACTCTTGGGATGCTATATAAGCTTGGCATTGTTTCAGATATTTTCAATCTGTGGTTCCAGATGCTGCAAGAAGTTGGAAAGAATGGTATAAGTGTAAACTTTAGAGGGTAAGACTTTGTGCTTTCTCTTTCATGGCACTTTCCACCAATACCGTAGACTGCAGGACTAATGTTAATTGTAGGCTACATGATAAAAAGGTTTGCTGCTTGGGATTAATTTCTCTTCTTGGCCTTCCTACGGACCACTTGTCTGGTGAAGCTTTAGAACACGTCTTTAAAGCAACACTTTATCTTCTAATTTCTTATAAGAATCAAGTTGCAGGTACATTGTTTTGCATTTTTCTGCATATGTAAAGATTATGTTCTCCCAAGTTTTTTGACTGCCCTTCTTTGTTACTCATATGAATGTGGATCATTTCCTGTTGTTTCTTCACTTTTCTTCCCTTTCTTTTCTTTATCATATATGTCATTTGATCTGACTGTTTCCTTGGATTCAAGTTACTGTTACTCTGAGGTTCTGAAATTTTAACTCCTTTCTATCTTACATTCTAAGTGTGTTTCCATACTTGTTAGCTAATTGTGTCTGTTAATTTGTTACTTTGTGTATTCATATTATTTACGTCTCTTGCATACTCTTCATTGGATTCTGATATGTTCAACAATTAGAAAAGCAGACAATTGTTTTAGTACCGAGTGTTGCTTATTTGGTTAAATAATAACTTCTCTTCTTAAAATGGCTTCAATGCTCATGTGGAAGACGAGGAAGAAGAAGAGTCTGAATGTAAAGAAATGGAAGATGATGCTGAGAATGGAGATGAAGTGGCTAGTCTAAAACTTCAGAACTTGGCAACAGAGGTTAGTAGATGAATGTAAAATCTTTTATCACTAGATATTCCAGTGAAGTTTATGCAGAAAATTTCAGTTAGATTATGCTGTCTATATAGTTTTTCTTATCTGAAATACGACCAGAGTCTCAAAGTGGGTTCTTGTAAAGAATATTCTGATTTAAGAGTTTTTTTATTCTGAGATTCCCTCTTCATAATTATCTTATCAACAGAATATTGCTCCTCAATTCTTTATCTAGTTTAGTAAATGAGTATTTTCATTATTATGATATTGTCCCTAAACCTGTTATAATATGGATCTGCAGCTTAGACTTCTATAGTTTTATTTATTGATCTGATTTTCTTTCTTTTCCCATATGATGTATAACTCATCTACCTTGGTTGAATATTGACATAGATTTCTTAGAATCCTTGCACTTCAATTTGTGAGTTTGTCTAGCATGAATCAACTGATAAATCTTATAATATATGCACCTATTATATCTATCTAGATCAAGGAACCAATAAGGTTGAACATTAAATTGGATAAAGATTTTGTTGTTGACACTAAATTGGTGCTGGATGCTAAGCCTCTGCGATCAAACGATTGCTTAATGTGCACAAGTTGGTTTGGATTATCTCATGCTTGTGCAATCTAAATTGGCAGGTGCCATAATATGCTTAAGATAAGAAAAAGAATTAGAGAAAAACAATTGAAAATCCTGACATATATCTAATTTTGAACAATTTCATATAGCATATGTGCTAATTGTAATGTCCCAATAATTTGCACTTATTTGGCATTAGTTGCATGGGTCTTTTATTGCTATTAAGCTCTATAATGATCTCGCTTAGGGTAATATTGCTACTTAAACTAGGCACACGCATCACTTTGTCATAAAGAATAAAAGGAGATTTAACTGCTCTTAATTTGACTAGTGATTATGGCAAGAAAATCCACGAGCCAAGCCCGCATAGTCAGGAGTTAGGACATTACAGCTACTTGTCTGGGAATATATATATATATATATATATATTGTTGAAAGCTATAGGGAGTTCAAGTGCTTATAATGTACTTAATTTTATTAGTATTTTTGAAAGGATAGTCAGATCAAGGTTTGTAACTATGTACTCGAACTATACTGGTCAGGACTAAGACTAGTATCATAATTGTCCTTATCGGTAGTCGGTACTTTGGTGTATAGAGACTTTGGACACCAAAATGTAGCAAGTTCTTAAAAAATATAAAAAAGGCTGAAAAAAATAAAAAGAAGGCTACCCAGTATTGACCCTATATCGTCCCACCAAATGTAAGTTCTATACTAGTGTACCATCCGATTTAACTTGGTCCAAGTATTGTAACCTATCTGATTAGTAAATATTACCTGTATCGAACCATACAGGCACTATTGCAAATCCAGTCAGATTAGTAATGAATCTATTTTAGTTCGATTATGTTTCTAGTGTTCTAGTCTAATTTTCTTGGTAGTAAGATATTAGTTGTGCTATAAAAGGGTACGAAATTAAATTATATTTAACACTACAAACATGATAGTAACTAAATGATTAATTTCTATTTTATTCAAGAACGCATTTTTATTTACGGGAAATTAAGTGATTAATTTCAATGTTGAGGTTCAGATTTAGTATGAGCCTTTGATTCAATGAAGTTAGTCTTAGATTTGAGAGAAATGAGGCTTGATAAGTGAAATATGAGTGTTCGGTGAAGAATTTTATGGCAAAAATGGGGTTGAGATTTAGATTTTAGAGAGGGGTGAAGAAATGAGGGAAAGAGCCTCTAAAAGTTCCTCAGAGGCTCAGAAGCTCATAACAGATTTATTTTTGGATCCTGAAACCAGGACTAACTTGACTGCCAGGGCAGATGATCAAATACCAATGAGTTACACCCAGTTTCGAACCATACTAAGCAAAATGACAGTCCACATTCCAGTTCCTAGTCAGACGGGTGAAAAACTAAGACGCTACAGGGGGGGTATGGTCATTTTTTTAGTACCTTGATTTAGATAACTTTCAATTATCACCGACAGAGATCTGGTCGAAAGAACTTTTCTTATCCAGAAGCTGAGATGCTGTACTAAATCTTACTATGCCTTAGTTTTTTTCATTAGTTAAATCTAGTTTATGGGCTTGGAGGTTGATTTCTTTGTAAGATTAGTTACAATAGTGTACTGAAGTTTGTCTCCTTCCATCATCAGATGAAAGACAAGCATGCGTTTAGAGACATGTCTTCCAAGGTGAAGCTACTGCAAAGGATGACTGACTACCTAATAACCAGTACCTTAAATTAGATTAGCACAGTTGCATTATGGCACTAAAAATAGCACTGGTTATATTATGGTGGAGGGAATGAGTAACCTAGAGAAGTAAATGGACCTTTTTGTCAAGGTGTCATAACAAGCTTGTGAAATTAGTGAAAAGTCCTAAGATTCCTGCAGGTGTCTGATGGATGTGCCCTGTGATCCACATCAGCACAAAGTTGTAGACAGCAAGGGAGGGGTTGGGATGTAATAAGCCCCTGGGGACTTTTATATAATATTCTCCAATCCTTTTGCATCATCTTTGTTTTTTTTTGCTCTGTATATGAACTGTGCAACTCAATACTTAGTGCCAATTATTTCTTGGATTATTTTTGTTGCATCAACAGTTATGTGGTCTGCTTATCTATGACAGAATCAGAAGAGAAGAGTTCAGTCAAATGATGAGACTGATGATGATAACAGCCATGATAATGACTTACAATCACCAATTGATAAAGTTGATCCTTTCAGTTTCTTTATTGAAACCATTCAAGGTAAGTCATTTTGTGGTGTCTTTCTTTCCGTTTATTTCTTCTTATTTCATAATTTTATATCTGACATTCTACCATTGTGCTCAGCTGTGCAAGCTTCAAACCCTACCAGGTTTCAGAACCTGATCCACAACCTGGATTTCCACTATCAAACTCTTGCAAATGGCATTGCTCAATATGCTGAGTGGAGGAGAGCAAATATCAAGAAAAACAAGCTGAGACAAGGCAGCAACTCAGTAAAAATCAACATCCCTCCTCTTCATAGTGTCTCACTAATTCCTAAATGGAGGAAGAATGTGGGTAGCTAGTGCTGTGCCATTTATCATCTCCTCTGCAGTCTTCCATGTTTGGAGTTTATTCTTTTGACCACCCAAGGTGGGTATTGTTAGACCTCTGTGTACACATTTAGAGTGAAGGGCGTATTTGTTACGTGATGCAGTTTGTTAGACCTTTGTATGCACATTTAGAGTGATGGACATATTTGTTACGTGACGTAGTTTCCTGCTTGCTTGTTTGCAGTTGTTGGCTGATGTGCCATGTTTCTTGCTTGCTTGTCGACTTATTGGAAAAAGAAATAAAATCTTGGAAATTATTCAGAACAGATTCCCTAAAAAAAGTCTCTAGTTTTGTTTTGTTTTTCTTCCACACCATAATACTTAAAATGATTAAAATATCTTCAACAATTCCTTTATCCTCTTCCCCGAATCAACATATTTTTTTTATCCAACTAATTCAATTGAAAGTTTTAAGCAACTCAAAATTTAGAGTGGTCCAATGTATATGTTAATAAAATATAAAATAAATCTTAAAATTAAAATATTATAAAAACAAAAAATTGCAAAGTAATGATAATTTCAAGTTTTTATCGATTGAAATAAATAAAAAAATAATTATTTTGAAAATTTTAAAATAGCAAAGTTGATCATTTAGGCCTTTGCAAGACAATTACAAGACATCATGAAAATTTAAAAAATATATAAATATAAATGGTGACTTACACTATTTTTAAATGGGGTTTCATTATTACTTGAATAAAAACTATATATCTTCTAAGGGAATTATAAATTTACTTTAAATTGGGTTAAAATAGAAAAATATAATATAATTTCTAGTTTTTTAAAGGTTGAAATTAAATAAAAAGATATATCTAAAAAAATACTTTTTTAGGTTTCTTGAAAATTTGAATATTATTAAAAAAAAAAGTAGAATATGAGTTATATTATTTTGAGTCGAACCCAAAAATAATGTAATCTTATTAAAAAACAGTGCAACTAGCCATCTAAGAAGATATTCTATAATAATATTCAAGTGATCTTTGTCCTAAAGTTTGTAAATTTATTTTAAATTACTTCAAATTAAAAATAACATACTCTTGTACCTTTTTTAATGACTCGTATTTAAAAGATTTAAAAATAGCAAAAAAATGATCATTTGGATCTTTGTAAGTTATTTCTAATGTTTTCTGATATTTTAAAAATATTATAATCATTTATTGGTCTATCTAATGATTTTTCTTAATATTCTATAACATGATTTAATTTTATTCTATATATATTTGTATTTTATAATGATTTATTTTAAATTTTATAATTATTTTTATTTATTTATTAATATAAATTATTATATATATACTATTTGATTTTATTGATTATTATTAATTTAGGATCGATCGAATATCACGGTTCATTTAGATTTCACTTTTTATTGGAGGGAATTAAAGAAAAAGACGAATTAGTCGTCAAGGATATTTTTGTCCAACAAGAAAAAAGAAAAAGGTAAGACTCCCTTTGGAAAAAAAATCAAAATAAATGAACTTTACAGAAAATAAAAATAGAATTATTTATGTTTGTTTCCTTCTCATTCATCTTTTTCTTTGTGGGGATCAATCAGTCCCCCTCTTTCCTCGTTCATCACGGAAGTGTTCATCAACTTACCATTCCATCCTCCCATATCCAAAGAAAGAAGGGCTATATCCAATAACATAGCGTAACGTGGCACCAAAACCCTTTCCTTGTTCTTCTACTCTTTCTCTCTCTGTCTCTACGTCTCTCTCTCTCTATTTACATCTTCCTCAGGATCGTCTCTCTCTGCTTGCACCGACCATGAAGCTCGCTGCCATCTCCGTCGTCCTCTTCCTCGCGCTCCTCAACTCGGCGACGTCGAATGGCGACGGTGAGTATTTCCCATGATCACATTCGAGCTCCGATCTGAACTCTTTTGATTGATCTTAAGTTTTGTGTCACCTTTGCCTTCAGAGAAGGAACCAGAGTTCGGGTACAAGCAAGGGACGAAGACAGGACCAGACAACTGGGGAAGAATCCGCAACGACTGGATCACCTGCGGGAAGGGCAAGTCGCAGTCTCCGATCGACCTGCGCGACAAGATGGTGCGGCGTCTCCCGCGGCTGCGTCGGTTTCGGACCTCCTACGTCCCCGCCGACGCCGCCATCAAGAACCGCGGCCACGACATCGCGGTGAGTCAATAGATCTTGTGGCCACACTGCATCACTCATGCATGCGTGCGTGCGTACCTACGTACGTACGGCTCGGTTTACACCTCTCGTGCACTCAGGTGATGTGGAACGGCCACGAAGCCGGAGGCATCACCATCAACGGAACGGAGTACAAGCTGAAGCAGCTGCACTGGCACTCACCGTCGGAGCACTCCATCAATAGACGCAGGTGCGTCATCCCTTCCGGTGGATCCATGGCTTCTTAACTACGTACC